ATACAGAATGGGAAGATATGGAGAAGACAGAACAGGGAAAAGGAAGAAGGGAGGATTTGGATGAAAGGTATATTACCATGTACCCCTTTTTTTCCTATTTGTTGAGAAATGTGGATTTCCCTACAGCCACTTTGACCATGCGAACCTCTCACATTCTATAATGGCTTCTCATTTTCCTGTGAATCAAACCAAAACCTTAGGCCTGTCAAAGAACACCCAAAACCTTGTTTTTCTACTCTTTGGCTCAAGAAATACCAAGTTGGGAACCTAGCCAAAGAAAATATCATTAACAAGCATTTGAATCCAGAGCGGGGAGAGGGGTGAACTCTGGAAACATGTGCACAAAGTTACCGATCTGGCATGATTTCTAATAGTCAGAAATTGGAAACAACCTAAATGTCCAGTGGTAGGATAGCATACATCATGCCATGTCCCAAAGATGAAATAATGTGCTCCCACTAGAAGAATTTAGTAGTTTGGGGCGCCTGGCTGGCTCAGTAGGTTAAGCATCTGACACTAGATTTCAGCTCAGGCCATCATGGTTCTGAGCCACCAGGGGGGAGCCTGCTTGGGATTCTCTCTTTCCCTCTCTGTTCCTCCCCCGCTTGCAAGCACATGATCTCTCTCTCTCTCTCTCTCTCTCTCTCTCTCAAATAAATGAACTTAAAAAAACCAGAATTTAGTAGTCTGAGAAAATACTTGTATCATATGTTAAATGAAAGAAGCAGGTTATAAGCTGGTAGGTAGGTTATAAACTAACTGCTACTATATAATTTGTGTACAAAACTATTTTAACTTTTTTTAATGTTTATTTATTTTTGAGGGACAGAGAGAGCCAGAGTGCGAGCAGGGGAGGGGCAGAGAGAGACAGGGGGACACAGAATCAGAAGCAGGCTCCAGGCTCCGAGCTGTCAGCTTTAGAACTATTGAGACCTCCCTGAGCTTGTGAGATCATGACAGAATTAAGTTGGAAGCTTATTTGCATAGGCCACAGGCACCCCTGTACCAAAATATTTTATTTAATTAATTAACTTTTTTTAATGTTTATTTTTGAGACAGAGCATGAGTAGGGGAGGGGCAGAGAGAGAGAGGGAGACATAGAATCCGAAGCAGGCTCGGGCTCCTGAGCATCGGGGAGCCTGGCATGGAGATGTCCGAACTCACAAACCATGAGATAAATGACCCTGAGCGAGAGATCAGATGTGTCGACTGAGCCACTCAGGCGCCCCATGCACAAAAATATTTTAAGTATTGAAAAACAAAACCACAGCAGAATGATTTCAGGGGTTTTCCTTTGACAGTGGGACTACGGGTGTCTTTCTCATTCCTTCTTCAATGTAACCAGGTGTTCCACGATGGACACATATTGACTTTTATAACCAGAGAAAAATATTCACCTAATTCTCTCACTCTTTCAACTGCTCTTTTTTGGGGAATTCACTCTCCGAGTGCTTTGTTCACCCATCTCCAACTCTTTTCCTGCGCACACCCTCCGCCTGCAAGGACAGCTGTCTGCCATGAGCTCCCTCCAAACACTCCGCTCCTGGAGGCGCCCGGCTCCGGGAAGCCTTGCCTGAGCACGAAGAGGAAAGAAGGCTGGCCCATCCCCACCTTGCCCAAACATGGTGCCTCCACGTCTCTCTCTGCTCGCCTTGTCCAAGAAAATCCTCAGCCTCTTTGCTGGTGCTTTTGCCCTCAACAGACTGTTTCCCGTTGTGCCCCAACAGCTGGTACAGCCGACTGTTTGCGCGTCTGCACCTGGCGGCTGAGCCAAACGCCTAGAAGGAAGTTGAGGTAGAGGCCACAGGCCTCATGAGCGTTGGACGATGAGGAAGGTGGTAATGACTCTTCTGCATGTCCTGATTTGCCAAGGGGAAGACTTCTCTTGGCCATTTAAAAACCACCCAAACAGTCTTTGAACAATTTAAGAAGTGATCAAAGTTGTTTGTGCTCAACCTGGACCAGCAACCCTTCCTAATGGCGTCAGCCCCACGCTGGGGAACTTTGGTTGGGAGGAAATGAGTGTGAACCAGTAACGCGGATGTAGCACGAAAGCGCGAAGATTTCTCAGGAGTTGATTCGTCCAAGTATACACCCAGCTTATTCCTGAATCGGAATCAAAGTAGAAAAACCTTTGAAGGAAAAAGTCAGCGGGTCTGCAAACATCTGAGGGCTTACCCAGTACCCGACACATCTCAGGGCACTTGTGAAATGCTGTGGCTTTATCAAAGCAACAAACAAATCTGAGTGATTGATTGTTCCTGTAAAACTTCCTGGTCATGCGTTACACCCACACGAAGCATAACAAGGAAGGCTCAGAGGATAAGACGGACCGCCTTGTGGTGCCTTCAAGAAAGGCGCGTGCATCTTAGCTCCTGTGACATTTTGAGCTAATTACCCTGGCCTGTGTATGAAACACAATGGAGTTAAGGGTCAAGATAAATCGGGTATCCTGCCACTGACCTGTGATGTTTTTGAAACTGGGGGAAAAAAGATTTGGTGCGCCAGCCTTCCTCATCAGTCTGGTATCTCACCTGTCATCTTGAACAAGGTAAACAAACCACGGACATATTTTTCTTCCCCGCAGAACTGCACCCTTTTTCGTGAGTAGGTCTGGATACTGTTTGGCAATTGGCATTGAGCAGAGTGGGGGTGGGGAAGCGCTTTTTAATTCCACCCTCTTCTCAAATATCTGAAGTAGAATAATGAGTAGGTGAGTGTCACATCTGTCGACTCTTTTCCGTTTGTGCCATCTGAATGCAGACCTCAGTCGTACTGGTCTCAGGCCACCATGGCTGGCATTTCCTCCCAGCCCATCTCATGAAGGCTGGAGGTGCTGGGATCTCCAAAGGAAGCGTAGATGGTCTTCATTCTGCCATCTCCAGGGGTCACGTTTCTGTTGAATGGGATCCATGAACTGAGGGTGAAATGGAAAGACTGGGGTGGTGGAGGGGATCTGAGGAACCAACAGGGAAAGAGAGAGAGGAGGGGGTCAGGGATGGCAGGGCAGGAACCTGTGTGTCGTCATTGGGGTCCATGTGAACTGTCTTCCTCGTCTTCCCAGGAGAACATTAGTAAAATATCCGTTTCTTGTTGGTACATTATCGACCAACAATCTGTGTGTTGAAGGAATTCACTCGTGCAATCACTCAACAAATATTTATTATTGAGAGCCTGTGAGGCACCAGGCAGTGTTCTAGGTGCCGAAGATACAGTAGTGAACAAAACACACCCAACATAGAGCAATGTGGATGAGTCTGCAAGCAATTCTGTGGAGAAGAGTCAATCCCCAACAGTTAATACTGGTGATTCCATTGATATAGCAGTTTTCAAATGATAAAATTTTAGAAATGGTGGTTGCCATGGGTTAGGGATGGGGGAAGGTCATGGTGGGAGACAGGTAGGTATAGTGATAAGAAAGCACCCCACAGAATCTTTGTGTTGATGTGCCATTTGGTATCTTGATCATGGTGGTGGAATAAGGAATCTACACGCATGATAAAATTGTGTAGAACTAAGCATGCACACCAACGAATACAAATAAAACTGGGGGGATCTGAAAAAGATGTATGGACTGAATCAATGTCATATCCTGGTTGTGATAACTATACTATAATGTTACCATTGGAAAAAATGGGTAAAGTCCACGAGGGATCTCTTTTGTATTATTTCTTACACGCGTACATGAATCTTCAATTATTTAAATAAAAATGTCCAAAAAACACCCCCAAAACAAAACCCAACCCCCAGACCTGATGGACCCTGCATTTCAGTGGGAGCTAAGTATGGCTTCATGGTGTTTTTGCAGGGTAAAAGTCCAGACCATCCTTCAGAGCTCTGCCCGCTCTGGGGTATTCCATGCAATGTCACCAGAGATTCCTTCCTTCCTGTCTCAATACATGTCACTGAATCTCTACTGGTGACTGAGTGAAATCCAGATTTAGGAGAGGAGGCAGGTGCAGAATAAGGGTGGAATCCCAGCTTCTCTGACCCTATGACATGGGTCCTTGAGGATTATCTTGCCTGCCTTTGGGTCTCTATACCACAAACCCACTGGACTATAAAGGTGAGACTCAAATGTCCATGGGTTCCCAGTACTCACGTGGGACCCTTCTTGGCGTGTTCCAAGCTTCCATCATCCCTACTACCAACCTCCTTCCATCTCTGCCCAAACACCTGGTCTATCCCGGCAGCACATTAAGCTTGGGGAGCCTTCTCTCCCCTACAAACACTGGCAGGGCTCCCTGCCCTGGTTCTCAGCATTAGGCAAGAACTCCTCATGCCAGCCCTGGCCTGGGCCTTGGTCCTGGATTCTAGCCCCTTGGCCATGGCCAGTTGGGTCACCATCCAGCTCCTTAACCCTCTCCTGCAAAGGGGCCTGCCACACCAATCTGCTGTCCCAATCTGTTGTACTGGGGCATCTGGCTGGCTACAAACTGCACTCTATTTTATTGCCTTAGAAGAACTTCAGAGAAAAGAAGCCACGTAAAAATTAAATAAGGTTGGAACAGACTTTAACACTTTCATTATTTTACATTATGCCATGCCTTGCATGGAATGACCACAAGGCAATATGCCTTCCTGGCCACAGATTTTACTAACAACGCATGGTTGAGAAATCTAGATCTCCCAGATGCACAGTCTAGTCTACTGGAAAGAGGGAGACGAGGGGCAGGAGGAAGGAGCAATGACAAATAGTTACCTGCCTCTTCTCTGGTACATCAGTGGTTGCTCATTCTAAGAAGGATGATTATGTGCCTTAATACAATTTCTGGGCATGGTTTTATAAGAAAGGAAAAGGGCTTTCTTGGAAATGCTTAAGCTAATCAATACATATTTGATCCACTTTCAAACAATGGTTTTAGGGCCAAAATAAGACGAAAGAAAAGACACTACTTCCATACCTTTGTCTCAAAGCCACCGCAGAAAGCATGAGGTCAAAAGGAAATGAAGGATCCCCCTTCACCCAGAGAGGAAGTGAGCCCACAGGCCCAACCCACTCAGGTCCATGGGGCCACATGGCAGTCTGGAATCCTGTCCGGCTGTTCCTGGGAAGGGGCCTGCTCCCTCGCGTCCCCGTCTGCGTCTGGGATGAATAACCCGTGGAGATCCAGGTGCACCTCTGCGTCAATGGACGCACGAGCCAGTTCTGTGAAACTTTTGGCATCCAGAACAAGCAGAAAAGGAAGCTTTTGGGAATCGGTAGAGACGATGGCTGATAAGATAATTCCTTTGGGGAAACAAAAAGAGATGTTTTGTAGAAGTGCAGACTTGAACTTCCTCCAGCTGGAGGGATAAATTTCTCAGCTGTATCTCCCCGTCCTCTTTGAAGGTAAGGACGTAATCAAAACAAAAGGAAGGCAAATTTGATGTTCTGTGTGAGCAGGAGGCAACTAGGAATGAGGAACCAGAATACCTGACTCCAGCCCTGCTGGGGGCCAGGTCCTTGACCTCTCCGACCCTTACTCTGCTCATCTGCAGAGTAAGGATGATTCTCGCTACCCTTGCAGGGCTGCTGGGACGATCTCTTGCATGGTGAATCGTGAAAGCATTTTGTAAAATATTGTGTGCACTGAAGAATGGCTATCGGACTACTGTTTAGAAAGCCTGATCATAGAGGATTAGTTGCGAGGCTGCATTGAAGCTAATACATGGCACCTAGCTAGACTCAGACTAGCTGCCCTCGATGGCATTTGAATGAGCCCAATGGACTTCATGCCCAAAGCAGCACACTAGTAGCCTCCGCCTTCCCCTCTGTAAAAAAATAAATGGAAATATTCTAAGTATTCACTCTCAAGGGAGGTAGGATTAAATGAAAGAATGCACATGAACTTACAACAAGTGTTCGTGAGTCCTCCCAAAGCCTTCTGGGCTTCAGGGTGGTTGACCATAGTCCAAGTTAGATTGGCGTGGATTAAAATCCTAACTCGGTAGGTACGGGGTGTGTGGCTGTAGGTAAATCACATCATTTTCTCAGCCTCTCCTTTGGTGGAACGAACACAACGCCACTCCCTGCTCACCAGAGAATGTAGGGGGAGCACTGGCCCAGCCAGTGGGAGGCCAGCCTCAGCAGGAGGTGCTACGAACAATCCCCCACCTCAGAGATGACAGCAACCTGGGGCCCCCTGCCTGGTGCGCCATGCCATGCATGATTAGTAGGAAGACACAGCCCAGGCAGAAAACCACTCCCCACCTCAGGGAAGCAGCTGGCAGGCCCAGTGGGGCAGCTCGCCCTCCCCTGCAGGTGTGGACAGCCCCACCCGTGGTCCTAGTTGACCCCGCCTTGGCATCCCCGGAAGTGTGTGCAGAGGATTCTGGGGCAAAGACTGAATCAAGGAGGGAAAAGACCATTTGGTCATGTGGAAATCTACAAAAGAGAGGTGGGCCACAAATGTGCGTTTACCGGTGCTCTGTAAAAAAGGTACAAGCTTAGAGATGGTTAAGAATTGTGTCCCAGCCACTGCAATGAATTCTCAAGTGGAAAGGAAGTGGGCTTTGTGTAGTAAACAATTTAATGTCCCGTAAAGGGAGGTCTGATCTTTCCTCCCGGGAGGTGACCTCTAAGCCCCTGTAATGTCCTGCCTCCTAAGAATATCTTTTTTTTTTTT